GGTGAAAATTTCATGTCATTAGCACCTCTAATAATATATTTACTGAGAAAAATGTTGATGTCTTCAATACTTATTTTACACGCTGTATTAAGAACTACAGACAATATTCAAATTTTGCTTCTCTTCTCAGTTCAGCAAGACAAAGTAAGTTAAAGTAACAACAGTTTAACTGATACAGAGGAAGAATAAAATACTGTATGTGATAAAAACAGTTTTCTTAGCCTCAGACGTAGGCTACTGTTGAAAAGCTGCAGCTTCAATACATACCGTGAACTTATTTGTTTCTTACAAGTGCAGAATCCCTGACATTTTGTGCTGCGAGTTCTGCCAAAACGCAGGTGCAGGGATRCATCCTGTGAGGGGCCAAGATGGAGAGCGAAAGCTGCTGCGGCGGCTCCGTAAAAGCACCGCTTTCACTTCGCACCAGTCATAAATCTCAGAGTTCTTCTCAAAGATGAAACGTGTATTTCCGTGGGGAAGACGTGTCAGGGTGAGTGACAGAACAATCTGCTGTACACACAAAAGTGTTGTGTGTTGATCTAGAGTCTGTGTGTTGACACAGAGTAACCAGGAGAATCTGCCACAGGAGCAGAACACAATGCACCAAATACGTTCTGATCRCACAATTTACATCTCTGGCTGGGGAAAATAGAGGACTCTCATGGCAGAAGGGAAATTTGCACAGAGGGAATATAATGTGAGACACTCTGCATGTYCTCTTTCTGCTCCCTAAGGACCTCTGTAGAAAAAGATGCATTCCCCAATAGACTCTTCAAACTCCATCTGGAATGAGGTAGTCAGCTTGCSGCCACGTGGTTGCAAAACGGTCATTTGCGTACACACCTTTCTTAGTTCATGAGATAAACGGTGCAGAGCCTTTTGGAAATCCCTCCCACTGCAGCACATGCCACAACACAGGTTTCCTCTCACCGGATTCTCCACTGTATCCCTACATCTGACGTTTGGCCACAAATCTGTTACAGACAGAGTGCAGACGTACTCCTACATGCACAATGTCTGTGCTACCTCCAACCAGGTGCTTTTGGCCATTTGACTACTTTTATAAGTGTCTGGGAGAGTCAAACAGATAGTCTCATCCAAACTATCCATGTTCCTTCCATGCACAATAGCCAGCTTCTGCAAGCAGAGTAGTTTAAATAAAATGATGCCATCACTTATAAACTTCTGACCAATTCCACAATACTCTGCATATACTATACTTGTGTTGAGATGGAGCGGACAAAAGTACTCTGTGAGATGTGATGTTGTCACATAACTACAGCCAATGAGAGCAGTGGTGGCGGGTTTGGATGGAGTATAAAACAGCCTTTAGCGTCTCATTTGGTCCCTTCTTATAAACGTCTGTTTGCTTAAAGATCTAAATCAAAGAAGGAAAAAATATTTCAGGTAATGCACAGTACGTTTCGCTATGGCTAAAACTAAAATATCAATCCAAAATAAACCCGACTTTAAAGCTACCTGAAATGCGTGCAGAGCCCCCTCTGATGTAGAGAGGAGGAGCCTGGAAGGCGTAGATGACATCATTCTCTGCGATGCTTGTGAGATCGTCTTCGTCAAAGAAGGAGCGCTGGAACCCTGTGGAGTAAACCTCTGTCAGGATCACCTGGAGATCAACAGATATACACACAAAAAATGTTCAGTTTGAGGGGACACCGTGCAGTAGAAGAGTGAACGTTGATGCAGCCTGCAAACACACAAACCTCAGTACCTCTCTGACACAAAGAGTTAAACACGCATAAGGAATGGTCCAGTTTGGATGAAATTTAGTCCACATGCAGACCGGGTGTGAAAATGATCTGATTTGCGAAGAGCAGTTTGTTTAGAATGGACACCAAAGGCTGTAAGTGGTGCCATCAAGAAAACATCATTACTGTTTTTAATTACCATATTTAGGAATGTATAATGTGACCCCCCATTTTTGGAGCTTCAATTGCATTAAAGGAGACCAATTATGGGTCCTAGAAATTTTTGTGGTATGTCTGTGGGCTATCCAGACCATGTTCATTCAATTTAATGCGCAAAATAATTCTCAGATAATAAAATTTCCCATTTTCTAGTTCTGCCTGCTCTGACTTCAGTTCAGAAGAGCTGTTTATGTTAATGAGCTCTGTTGGTAACGCCCTCCAAAAATCTGTTGACATTAACTCCGCCCTCCAAAGCCAGTGTTTACCTTAGCATGGCTAATAATAGCAGAAGCTCTGTTGTACAACCATATGAGACCCAGAGGAAGAGTCGTAGTCGCAGCTTGTTTTTTTTTCTCCCCCTCCTCTTCTCTGAGCTCACTCTGCATGCTGTTACCAGAGCAGGGAGCAGCAGTGGTCAAAATACCTCAGAAACTGGAACAAATAGGCTTTAACAAGGCTTTAATAAGCTAAACAATAGAGGTACATGAGAAAACGTGTTCATAACGAACAAAAACAAAATAAATAATTAAATAGTGTCCATGCCGGTCTCAAACCCTGGTCTCCCGCTCTCTGGTCCAACACTCTACCCATTGCCCTACTGGAGGCTTGTTATGAAATGAGCTGCGCATTACACAATAACAACCGTGACGGCTTTTTAAATTGAGGAGGTGGGGCCTCACCCGRGGGTTGCTAGTTGAGGGGCAGAACGCAGGTTCCGGTGSGTTGTCGTACGGCTTGTGACATCACAAAATGATGGAAGTATAAAACGTGTCGTTAATATGCATTAAAAATACATTTACTTACAGTAAATATGCCCCTGGGTGCATTTTTTTGGTCCTAGGACTGTTTTTTAAGAAGTACAGTACATACCCAAAGTTGAGTAAAAAAAAACTTTAAAAAGTGAATTTTGCATAATAGGTCCCCTTTAAAAAATCTAAACCTTGTGTATGATGCTATCCCTAATTTCATACAGACTTTGTGAGCATGGTCCACTCCCAGAGCAGAAGCCGGTTGTTAAATTGTTAATAAGATGGACAGCTTCACGGAGCAGCTCGTCTGGTCCTATTGAGCACACAAATGTGCAACTCACATCCTAGTCTTCTTTCAATCTTCACAGTTAATGAAAATATTTAATAAATTCCTCCTTGACTCCTGCATGAAAAAAAAAACCCAACTACAGTTGTTGTTTGTATGTTTAGCTAAGCACAACTCATTCAAATGTGGGAGGGCAGAACTTATGATGATTTATCCTCCACGACACAATATTTCAGTTATATGTGAGAAAATATTGACATTTATTCTGGTAGTACAATAAATTTACTCCTGTGTATAATATGATTTTACAATATTGGTTATGATTTTTGGTTATGTTGGCTATGTGTTTTTCTTTCTTTTTGTTCTTGGCTTTTATTGTTGATCTGCTTCTCTTGTCTTTGTCTTGAGGACCTTGAGTCTGTAATAGAGTTTGAATATGACCCCCCAACTTTATGAATGACTTTTTTGGGGGTAACATTTTTCACATTAAATCTGCATAAATACGGTAGCTGAAAGTTTAACAGCAATCAAAACAGTAGATGAAGGTTAACAGACCAGGGGCCTCATGTATCAATGGTGCGTACGCACTAAAACCTTGTGTACGCCATTTTCCACACAAAACTCCAGATATATCAAGACTGAAATGAATGTGGAAATGTGCGCAGCCCCACTCCAGGGCTGGTGTATTCACATTTCTGTGGTTTTGGTTCCATTAGTGACACTTAGAGGTGATTCTGGGAAACTGTTCATGATGTGAAAATGATTATTGTTCACACCAGACACACATGATTAACAATTATTACATCCACATGGACGCAGTTAGATAAAGGACGCACAAAGTTGTGCCAGAAATACATTTACAGGGACGGATTCAGCCTTACTGGAGAATATAATAAATAGTGTAACACGCAGAGCTTTTATTTATAAACTAATAGAATTTTCTGATCCATGATGTCGAGTGGCTCATCAGCTGTTTTCAGGAATAATCCTTTTTCAGTTTGGCACTGCAGCGCTCTGGGAGCGCAACACAGGGTGGAGCTGTGCTCCACGCGTGCACGTGCAGCAGCAGTGATTGAACTGGGGTTCCACAGGAGCTTTCCAAAGGGAGCTGGCAGACCGATCGGGACTGTACCAGTCCAGTCCACCCACAGCTGAGTCATGACCAATGGAAAGGTCTCATCCATCATGTGACGTCATGAAAACTCTCCAGTACTGAGGAGCAGTGACTCGTTTCTTCATATCAGCTGTGAAATAAACTAAGATCTATGTTCTACCAAATATCTGAGTTCCTCTGTGTTTACAGTAATTATGGTAATAAACTCGTGCGCAAAGTTAATTAAAAAATGTCCAGGCTCAGAATGGATGAATGGACCGGTTGCGCACCACAGCAGCTTCACGTGCGCGCTCACGCACACACACACACCGACACACAATCATTCGTTCTTTGTGTGATAAACATATTTTATTCCTATTCTTACTTAGGACTTTTTTTCTCACTCACATTAAATTTAATTCATTATTTTCCTGACTTTAGAAATCACTTCTGATCACGCAGGGATCACTCAAACATGTTCTTCACACATGCAGGAAGTAATCTGCATCTGTTTAACGTAGTGTAAATGAAGGCGTGTCAGGGGAGGTGTCTCATGTGCGCTCAGTTCCACATTAATTGTGATGTACAAAAGAAATGTGCGTGGATTCAGGCGTATGTACGGTTTGATATATCTGGATTTTTTTGTGTGTACACCATTTTCTGGATTGGACCGTACGCCACGTTTCAGTAAGAAATCCACGCATGTCTTTGTACATGAGGCCCCGGGTCACATGAAGTTTGCATAAAGAAGTATCATTCAGTTCTATCATTCAACTGCTGTCATGTGGGGAGTACAGATATCACAACGGCCTGATGTCGAGACCAATGGGTGCATGAAAGCACCAACACACACCAAACATTACAGAACCCCATAACATCTGTGCCCGCCATCTGGACACAAGAGGCTGGACTCTTTACAAGATCCCATACCATCCTGACCTGAGTCCTGATGACTGGCTTCAGTCCRACTACAAAWGTGACATTTCTCTTCATCCTCAAAGGTGAAACATGGTTCTGTACGGACATGGATGACCATTGAGTGTGTGTGTGTGTGTGTGTGTGTGTGTGTGTGTGTGTGTGTGTGTGTGTGTGTGTGTGTGNTGTGTGTGTGTGTGTGTGTGTGTGTGTGTGTGTGTGTGTGTGTGTGTGTGTGTGTGTGTGTGTGTGTGTAAGTTTATGGTGGCACTGAGCAGAAAGGACTAATCCTGCCATAACTGTAAAGAGACACATCAGTACTACACCTGTGGTCATTGTGTCTGACTTCAGGTCACCTCTGGTAGTAGTTCAAGGGATCCTGACAGCACAAGGCTACATCAGGGACAGCCTATGTTGTCATGCCTTGCCATTTTTGAGACAAAACCCTGGTATAGCCTTTCAACAAGACCACACACTCAATCCCAGACCAGGAAGTGTCTATGAGCTGCCTGCRTCATGTKGAGGTCCWCTTGTGGACAGCAAGTCTCTGATCTTTCCCATACTGAAAATATGTGGGATTGGCTCAGACGTCAAATCAAACTCGGTCTAAATCTGCTGGATCTTGAAGACCACAGCGGTTGAAGGYCAGCTTGTTGCAGGAGTATATACAAGTACTAATTAATTCTTCCTGCACAGAATTGCTCCTTGTTTCTAGGCCTGACCTGCTAACTTACATGTGAGTGTGCATATAATGCAAACTCTGCTACCAGGCTTTTAGCCAGGGGGGTGCCAGGACGTCTTTTAGACACTATGTTTGGTTTTCCAACACCTTCTTTGAGCTAGCGATGCCTCATGATGCCCTCATGGAACTGTGCCCATCTTTGAGTTCTCTGAGATTTAACAGACATTTCCGTTTGTAATTTTTTTCCCCTTTCCTTAAATTTTGAAACTTTTGTAAGTAGCGGGAATTGACCGCTATTTTAAATAAAGCCAGAGGACAACACATAAAGAATAAATTGCGCCAGCCTAGATAGAGGAGATGGGTAGCGATATTACAGCTTCACTAGTTACTGTTACAATCTCCGCTTYTGGTACATCCGTCATTTTTCTCTTCCTTGTGTAAATTTTGTAAACTTCTGTACGCTTCATAAGTGGTGAAAGTGGGGTGGGGACTCAAAATTGTTGCTCTCTTCCAAAATCCTACCTAAAATCCTGTCTGCTATGCTTTTAATGTGATACTGTAATTTGTAACACAGTAACAAGGAGTTTCATTTAAGTTTCCACCACTCAATCCATATGTGCTTAACTATTTTGTTTTAATTGTGCGTTGAGTAGTCAAAAAAATATGTGTTTGTTCATTTGTTCCTGCTTTATCTTACCTGGTCTGGGGAAAGTTTGCCCTCATCAGCCACCATCCGTCTCAGGCAGGCAACAGAACCAAAGAGAGGCATCGCCAGCCCGACCCGCAGATACCTCTGTCCTTTGGTGCTGAACACCAGAGTGACACACAATAGTCTGACAAAAAAGGACACACAGTCAGAGGAGGAAGGAAATAACACAACCTCTGTTTTGATTTCAGAGCCATTTCTCCTGTAGTTTCTCTGCAGCAAGGAAAGGACATTAGAGGACATTCATAAATAAAGCAACACATTTTAGCATAAATAATAAATCATTAGGACTTAGCTTTATGTGTGTGAAATAATAGAGCGTCTGTTGCAATTTTAACCTTCTCTAAAGTAGAGTAGAGGGGGTGTGATGGGACATAATAACATCGTTGAGATTTCAACACTGTGTTTGATTTTACTGAGTTTGCAGTTTGAAATCTCTTAAAATAATAATTTTATGGAGCAAAGTGATCAGTTCACTCTCATGTTTTTCATTATAGTTGAACTTGATGAACATAATTACAAGACAATAGAAATAAAGCATCTTTCTTTATTTCACAAAACATTTGTTCTAAAATACTCTAGAGTTAAGTGTTGGGATAATGAATAAAAATAATAATTAGCTGACTTTTTAATAGTGTTCACTTTATTTTCAGCTTTTCCACATTTAACAGTTGTATAGTAACTTTTTATACAAATGCAATCAAATTACCAACAAGGTTCCTATAATAAATGTACATAATAAAAAAGAAGTCTACAGTTTTGTGTAGATTATACATAAACTGGGGGAGATTCAAACTGGGTACAGCACAGATGTTATGGTTACTAACAAAGAGCGGGTATGCAGCACTAAAGATTAGACTCAACAAAATAAAATGGAAAGATATGATCACAAAACAAAAGATGGTCAAAAAAGCCTAAATTCAAGAAACTAAAAGACAAAAAATACAAAGCAAAGCAAAACTTAGAGACCATGACTTTATTCTACATTAATCTCTTTGGATTGYTACAGTCATCCTGAATTACCTTCACAAAAAAAGATTTTGTTTCAGATTTTATTCCTGCTGGTTTGAAGTCCTCCCACTAAAACTCAGAGGGAATATTTTGACATTATTTCAGAACTAAGTTCATACTTGGTGCGTTGGCCTGTGTCGCAGTTTTTGCTCTGCTGCTCGTTAAAAAAAACAAAAAACAAAAAACAAAGATGTTCCCTTTCATGTGGCTGAAGAAAGTCAGGTATACGAATTTTCTTTGATTTTAATATTTGTACTGACACCAGTACTTACAGAAATGACCTTTGGAATTTGAGATTAGGCTATTTTGTTGCAAAAAGTCATTTTTCACAGWGTTAGCACTGAAAACTGACAGTGTTACACTATTAGCCGATGCTTTTCTTGACAGTGGGCCTACTGTTTAAAACAAATTAACAGATTTTTAAATTGTTACAGCCATTGCTGTATAGTTTTTTTTATTAATTAGATGTTTATGAAAATAGTAAATAAATATCATATGTCCATAAAAATCCTTTAGCTGGATGATAGTATAAAGTTTAGTGTTAGGATCTGTGTCATTTTGATTATTTTTGGTTAATTTCATCGTTTATTGATAGGCTTTCCTCCCATCATTCATCAAGTTCTTTCAATATGCTTCACTATGCCTCCTTGTTATTTATCCTTAATTTTTGTAATATGTTTGCTGCCAAGGCAGCTTTTTTAAAATGAAGTTTAGTTTTATTGTTATTGGAGCGCATCAGCTGTCTGTATTCTAGGGACCATCCTCCGGAAAAGATGACAAGTTGCAAAGAAAGTCAMAATTTCTAATTCAGTTCAAAGGTGTAACGCATTCAGTGGTGTAATTATTTTTTGCATGTAAATTATTTGTGTCTTATTTAAGTTTTGAAAGCGATTCCTAAATGTCAGTGGAATGAGTTGTGTATCATTATAAATAGGCCTCGTCAAAAAATAAAAAATGTACTAGACCAATTTTGGCAAAAAAAATCAACATTTTCCATTGGATTAGGTTATTTTTTTAAATTTTTTACGTAATGAGTTTTATAAGAAAAAAAAKCCTCTAAAATGAAAATAGCACATACTGTCTAAAATTAGATTCCCGTGTTGGGACTCTCAGCCACGGCAAACATTTGGTTTGGAAACAGAAAGTTTGGGTTTTTGGCTTCCAGACCTGAAATGAGTGTGAGTGAGCTGAACTGTTCACACAGGGAAACATTTGAAAATTGCTTTCAAAGACAATCCATCTGTTTTCTGCTTTGTTTGTTCCTTCAGAAGTGTTTTCTGTCACCCTAATTGCCACACATTAAAAAAAGGAGGACTCTGAGTCTGGCGGGCTGTCAGAGTGAAGCTCTTAAAAACACTTTCCCTAAAATAGAAAGAATGGTGGCTGAATTTTAACAACTTATTTAAATGAGGGAAAAACCCAACAAGAAATGAGAATAAGTTGGAAAAAAAAAAAACAACTTGCTTACATACAGTTAAATTGAATGCCTTTTGCCAATCAGATGTTCAAGTTTATGCAGTTWGCTTTATTCTGACACTGAGATCAAAAGATTGAGCTCCATTGATGGTACAAAAGCTTAATTAGTATGTCTTGTTATTTTTTAAACTAATAAAACCGCCTTTATGCCTCTCACAAGCTCACAGTTGAACCTGTATATACAAGAAACCTCCCACTTAGCCATTAAATTATTCACAAACTGTTAGCAAGATTGTTTTCATGTTTTATTGGTGAGCTTCAGAGGTGAGGTGATTATCTTTGTAACTGTTACTTTTAGGGTTAAAGTTTGTTCACCGTACATCAGAAAAAGTTTCTCACTAACACAAAACCTGTAATTCTCCCATCTTCTGCAGTCATTGGTGTGAATTATTGGGAGAGAACAAACCAAAAGCTGCCTTCCCAACATTTCCCAAAAAATGTTCCAGAGCAGAGTTSTAAAAGTGAAGCAACACATAATTTACAAGAACCTTCTGAATACACTAAGCATTTAAAGGGGAAATATGTATTAAATACATTTTGTTTTCAAACCAAAGCATTGTAGTTCCACTTTATATAGACGCAACTGAATACGTATTTAAATGTGAAAATGAAGGGTTTAAAAGCAGAATATGTCTACTTTAAAAGGACATGGAAGGCATCGATATTGTGCATAGAAAGTGATTTTCARTGATTTATCCAACTTGGCTTCAAAATTTCTTCTATAATATTTAACTGAACACCCTGGATGCTCTGTATGTGGAGGCTTTGCCAAACCTCATCAACACATACCTCTACAACTAAAACACAAACCTCATCTTTTTAAAGTGTCTGTGACCTGCATATCCTTCRAATACAAAAAGTCAAAGAAAACATCTTTTTATTTAAGAAACTTGGCAAAAAMCACATAATTTTACCCATTTTGTCACATAACTGACATATTCTCTTTTGAACTTGGTTCAGCCCAAATGAAACAGGAAGTGACATCAAAGGGGAACTATTTAAGAAAAAAACTGGTCTGACACCGACTCTTCATCTCTTTCTGRTAAACCCTCAGAATAATCTAARGAAACACCAGATTCATCTCTACAGTTTGTGTTGTCGGCCATGTAGCTGCTCTTTTTACATGCAGACATTCCCTGTGACATCACTTCCTGTTGCTTCCAATGCAAATATTTCAACAAGTGTTGATCTCAGCACAATGAAATGTTTTTTGCAATATGTTCAGTCAATGTTATCTTTTTAAAATGCATTTGTGTTTATTACAAAAAAATACAGGCACTTTAAAATCAAGAGATTAAAAAGGAAAGTTTTTTCATTCATTAATGAAGTTAAACAGATTATTTGACGTAAGTAGGGACAGGATGACTATTTCCTTTTCTAGGCCCCTATGGGTTAACTAACTAACTAAAAGTTATCATTAAATTTAGTCCACGCAAAATTTAACACGACATAAAATATTTTTTGGTGATTGTGAGGACTAGTGTTAMGTTTCATAGCTATCATCAAATCCAATTTTTTATTTTTGGATAAATTAGTTATTTTTTGTGGCTTTACCTGTTAACCACTGTAAATGTTAAACATGAATGTTGAACACCAAAACGAAAAATCAAAAATTATTTTTGGAAAAATGTTTAACTTTTGAGTCTGTCTGGCTCTGTGTTCACATTAAAGTTAAATAATTTTTTGTAAAGGTTTTATCCTTGTATTCTACACTTGATTTCAGCTTCTAATCAGCCCTCTTGCAGTAAATGTTTGCCATTTCAGCACATAAACGAGGTTTCAGTAACAATCTGCCAGTTTGTTGTGTTTCCCTGCGTTCCTTTCTGATTAGCCTTGGTTTCCTTTGTTTGAGCTTCTAGTTAATTATAGCTTTCTTTCTTCATCCTGCCTTTACAGCTTTTTGTTTTTGTGAAGGTTTAAAGTTTATTTCGCTCAGCCTGTCAGCTGTCTGCGTCTGGATTCTCTGTTTCAGCCATCAATTGTGACACCCAGTGAGCCGTAATGGGATATAAAAAACAAAACAATAAAATCTACATCTAAATTGTTCAGCTTGGCTTAAAAAAAACGACAAAAATTTGGTCTAAGTTTATTAGCTTTCTAAACTTCATCTGGATTTAGCTGAGATTGAGAAATATAGCTCTGTGCAGATGGTCTCAGGATTTCTGTCTCTCTCATGTCTTCTTTTCAGGACCAACAATAGATTGATATTAAACAACCTGAGATTATTTAACAGATTAATACACAACCTGTAATTTATCACATTCAGGAGAGTCACTGACTTTATKCAACAATTTAGGTCAGTAGTTTATCATGGCATCAGAACAAATTTGGTTTGTTTCTCTCATTTATGAAGTGAATGCAGGAGTACACCGATTGATCTGAGCTGGACATCTGAGATATGAGCTGTGAGCAAGTTCTGCCCACTCATTACACTGCTTTGTTTGCTGGTGTGTAACTGATGTGAAACCACTTCACACCTTATACATGTGCCTGTCTACAAAATAAGACAGACAGTGAATGAGTGCTCCTACTGAGACTCATTAAAGTTTGTAAAGCTGGGCTGATTACAATATGTGCTCATGCTTTAGTTATTGATAAGTTAACACTTTGTGAGCCACGTGGCACACGATTGCATGCCAG